TGGAAGTTTTACATAATTTGCTTCCCTGTATGCTTTCCTTTCCAATTATATCCCTCCCAGTGAAACTTTGTTTTATTTTCTTTCAACACATACCTTTTATAAAACAGAGGCACTAAAGTGGTGCTAGAAGAAGCAGCAAGAATGAGATGGAGGAACTACAATTAGATAAGAAGAAGAGTATTTTAGGGACTCATTAGAATTGAGCCACTACAGGAAAAGCTTCATCATCTTTCTGGGAAAATGTGTTCATCCTTATCAGGTACATCTAAGTAATCTTTAGAGCTCACAATACTCTTCACAGCACTGAGGCTCTACTTTACAGCCACACTATACCAAGGATGCTGTCAATGCACAAAACGTTCTTGATACTCCAAAGGAGCATGATAAGGAAGAAATAGAAGAGTCTTGCCACGTGAGATCTGACTAGCCTGCAAAAACATAGGTTAAAATGTCATGTCAGGGTAAGAAATCCTGTTAAGGATGTGAATCAACCAGAGATTCCCTGCCTTGAAAAGAGAGCAGATTTTTGGGCTAGTTCCAAGGGTACTGTTGGCACTTAACAGAATTGCTGACATCTATAATCCATGTTGTATAGGTAACGCTTGCTTCTAACAGTGATACAACTTTATCTATTGATATGAGAAAGATACAAGGAAAACACTACATGCTGAAATATGCACTGTATTTTACTCGTAGTCCCATTTTTTTATTTGATTTTTTTTTAATAGAAAAACTGACTTGTCCACTGGATAGCCAATTTTTTTCCTTCTCTGCTGGTATTTCAACTTGATAACGCACGTAGAATAAGATCAAGAGTTCAAGATCAGAGAAACTAACGCTTACTAACACTTTGTATTAAAAGTTTTACTGGTTACTGCCTAAACAAGAAACCCCCTCTATTTGTATTGCTGCTCTGACTATAGCAGCTATTAACTTGGCAGCCAACACAGTGCCACTTCCTCTCCTCCAGCCTCTTGGCAGAACAATTGCCACAATGTACTCCAGGACGTCCAGCAGCCAGTCGTGCTGCTCCAGGACCAGTTCAGGATTGAGCCTGCACCCTTCTAATTGCTCCTTTGCCACTGAACTGTCAAGATGTCCTCAGACAGAAACGGTGCTAGAAAACTTACCATACAGACTGTGTGGGGCAGCAGTGATGACCATTGAAAAATCCCTGTTGCAAAAGCAGTTTAAACCAGTGAACAAGTTTTGCTTGCCTTTTTTTTTTTTTTTTTAATAATCTTTACATTTCTGAGGTTCTTAGCTGTCTACCTGATACTTACTTCAACAGAGCTTTTCAGACACATTACTGTTAAAGTACAGGCTTTAGGTAACTCTCAAAAAAAATTTCATATCTTTACTGTACCCTAAAGGTTAATCAGAAGTCACTCCCACAACAAATACACCGAGATGATGCTTTTTGAGGTAGCTTGGTTAATCTGAACCAAGTACCATAGCACTGAGTCAAGACACACACAGAGTAACAGAACAAGTGTTGAATGGGACTATACAAAACAGTAGGCAGCTTCTGAAGTGTATGTTAAGTGAAAACTGAATAGAAAAAGCCTAGTGTTACAGATGACACTGGAGAACTATCACAGCTCCCTTGCCTGGGCTTTAATGATATCATCAGAGAAAAGAAGTCTTTTAAAAAACTCAAGTAAACAAAAAAAAAAAATACTCTCTTCTATCTCACCTACAGGCAAGCAAGATTCAAAGGAAGTGTTAAGAGAGGTGAAAGAATTTTTACATGAAGGTAACTGTGGCATGGAAACGGGAAGAGTTAAAACCCCAATAAGAGAAAAAGATCACCCTGCAGGGCAAATGGGCCTACAGTACATCTAACTATGTGAACGAAGAAGTCACTTCTCAGCCACAACAAAGCTCTGGATAATTTCAAAGCATGTAAACTAGAGATATATTTAACTGAAAGAGTTATGAATATGTTTATATAGAATCAAATGTTCCATTACTGTTTGTAATTGACTTTCACTACAGGTGAAAAATCATTTCCATATGTATTTCTTGTTCTTTCAATAACTTACCTTCATCCCTTTCCTTCTTTTCTGTTGAGCAACACTTTAATAAAAAGTAGGACACATTATAGAATCGATATGCTATATATTTTCATTTATATACTGATTTGATACACATACATCAATATATATGTAATGTATGTAATATAGTATACTAAACTGTTAACTCTGTTTTGTATTATAAGGCACATTTCCTTTGAACTCTGTATAAGGAAAATTGTATGATGTGTTCCAGGAAACCGTCCTTGCTCGTGAGATATGGGTTACCAGAGAGACACCACACACTAGTTTTGGTCTTCAATATTATTGCCTGTTTTCTACCAGTCTGACACCATACAACACACAAGAACAAAAGTAGTTTCTCAGACTAGACATGTGGCAAAAAGACAGACTGGATTTAAAAGGTGGTGTTTTACCTGAAAAGTGGTGTGCATCCTGGCCATATGTGAATAGAAGTGAAAAGAGACAAAAATGAGGTTGGACTCTGGACTGTGTTGAAAAGCCATTCATCCACCAAAGAAGTAAAATCAGAGAAGGACAAATACACACATATTACAAAGTGAGGTTACATGCACTAAGTATATAAGAAAGCACATAATGTATATATTTAATAAGTGTATTTTCCAAAGTAAGAATTCCAGAAATTTAAATAAGTTGCAAGTGTAAGAGAAGCATTAAATACTCATTGCAGGCACAGACCAATTATGAGTTAACAAGTTAATGAGTTAACAAGTCCCCATTAATGAATTTGGAAACTAGGCCCTTCAATGCTTTATTGGAGTATCTGAAGCATGATAAACTCTGGAAAACAGATTTGTTCATATGGAAAAAAAAACAAACAAGCATCCAAAGTTATTTACAGAGTGAACGCATAGTCTTGACGCACTTACAGCAAACAAAAAAACCCTCCACCATCTAACAATAAACGCCGTTATAAAATACCACCCAGTGTTTTTAATGCAAAAGTCTGGGAACCTCTGTGTTTTCTATCTGGCTGATTTAATTATTTTAAGAACTTAATATTTTATCAGCTTGTCTGAATGCACACAAGCTCCTTACACTTATATTATACTATAAATCTAGATTTGGGAGCTAATTTAAATGGCTTATATATAGCTATAGAGGTAAAGCAGCTATTTCTTAAGAACATGGTTTTAGAAAGTTAAATACAAGCAGAAGTATTTTACTCTTGCAAGCAACTTTATCCTGTCAAACAAAAGGCAATAGCTAAGATCAACCAGATAAAGAGAAAACAAGGAAATATTTCAAAGTCCCAAGAGATCACAAAACTATTTCTAATATAAAACGGAATGATAGTATCTTTAAAAACATCACCGCATGCTGTGGTCCTCTCTTGTTTAGGTGTCCAAGGCTGTAACACTATTGGTTCTACAGTTAACCCCTTCTTGTGACTGACTAGTAACTATTTCAGAAGGAAGATGACTGTTTTTAAAACCAAAATAGCATGTGTTAGTCTGGAAAATTTATTAGTTATTTTCTAAGAACCACCTGTACATCAGATAGAACCTGCTGGTTCTCCCTGTGATCTGTGAGCTTCTTTCTTCTAAGGAGGAGATGCAAACAACTTTTTCCAGCACAGGTTTAGGACTACCCTGGTCATCATGCAGAAGCAAAATGCTTGTGGGGAGAAGAAATTTAGCTGTAAACCCTTCCTCTTTCAGAATTCAGGTTCCACTGTCAGGGAAATCACTGATGCCCTGAGCATTAATGGACTGTCTCGTTCCTACAGCATGATCAGCCAGCATGTAACTGCTTCGTTGGTTGCTAGGGAGCAACGAGCTCATTACATGGCATCATCCGCACCCTCCACAAGGATGCTGGCACATGCTTCCCATCTGGGGATACTACTGATTGAAGTAACAGCACTGGAGTGCCTGCCAGTCTTCAGTCTCCCAGGATTCAGCACGCCAATACAGCAGGTACTAACTTTAGCTCTACCTTTGAGGTTTTAAGCTCTGGTCTTTGTGAGCCTGGCCAATGCAATGCAACACACAAAGAGGTCAGAACAGCCTTCCACAGCTATTGGCTTGGATACCCCTTATTTTTAAAGGCCAAATCTAGACAAAGATGTTCTTCCTGAAATTTTGGCAGACACGTGGCTTTTCTGACTAGGGCAATGATTGCTACTATTCTAGAGGCTCTGTTAGAGGAGAATTCATTAAAAATGAAAAAAGGCTGGAAAAAAAAATCTTCTTTAAGGGAACACAAGATTTGGAGGCATTTACAGAAGACATACAGAAACCTAGGGATCTCCAAGCTGTATACATTAAATCCCTGGAATGAATGTCAGCTGTGAACAATCTGGGTCACTTTAAAGTCTAAATATACAACCTTAATGCATTTTTTCAGCTGTTTGTCTCATTAGAACTTCACAGATCTATTCACAATAAGGGGGGGGGGGGATATCTGCCAAGAAATAAAAAAGCCACCCCGCTTCCATATGCCAGGAAATTTATTAACTAACAATCTATCTGCATTACACAGAGATGGTATCTAATGATTTTATGTACCTGTCACATGTCAAACGCCATCCAAGAATTCTTAGTGCTGGTGAATTAACAAGCACATAAGGGAATACAGCTGTAGATATGCGTAGATACCTATACATTCAAATCCTTAGGCAACTTCAAAATGCCTTTTTTTTTTTTTAACAACTGCATAAAGAAACATAAAAAGGAATGAGAAGGAAGGCAAATTGGGGTGATTCACTCACCAAATGCATGGAAAAACAGCTCTATTTAAAGGGAATAGGTAAAGACAAAAAGTGTCAACTTTCCCTCTTACTTGAAGTTAAGATTAAATTCTTAAGAATTTAAGACCACCAAGATACAAAAACGCTCACCACTAATATATGAAATAATGTCATGGACACTCATGTATCAGTTAAATGCATTTTAAAGTAACTGATTAGTTTGAAACACAAATATTTACCTAAGACCTTACCTGTCTCAACAATTTCTCAACAGCTGACATTACCATGAGCCCTCTCCACACAACCGGGGCAGTCTCTTCTACCAAGAAACCCATAGACATGCTGAAACAACAAAGCAAAAACTTAAGCTTTCCAGCACAATACCAAGTAACTCTGTAAAGAAGCTTGATTTAAATTAAAACATATGCTCACCATGCGATTCCATAGTTCTTAAGGGGCCTCATTAGATTTTCTAAAACAGAAGCAAACAAGGGTTTTTCTTGGGGGGGAAGTAGGTTTTGGTGTTTTGGGTTTTTTTTGAAGAAATAAGCTTACACAATTTTTTTTCCCTTTTACGAGCAGTTTTCCCTCTCTGTTAAAAGTATATATCTATTTCCCCCCCCCCCATCCCTTCAATATATGTATACATTTATGTATTCTACCCAAGAACCTGGCCCCACTTTTTCTTAGGTTGTTATGTTTTACGGATATCATTCATCTTTTGCCAGAATAACAATGCATCTGCCCATAATATAATGTCACTTTGTGCTGCTGAAACTGACTTCATCTATTTGTATGAAATCCCCATGCTGCGAGGCATAAATCCCCTATTAGGCAGCCTCGAACTTCTGCAGTACTTCACTAATGCTGAGTCATTATATCAGAACAAAATCGAAGTTTTACAACATGACGGAATTTTAAATGATTTTGTTTTTAAACTATGCTATTCACTAATCTCGTGAATCAGAGGATCGTTCCCATTAACACACCAGTGTTTTGGGGAATTCTTCTCATTGTATTAAGTCTGCTTTGGAATCCCAGAGAAGAGGTACCAAATAAAGCCACCCCTAAACTACATGCTGTCAACAGCTCTAGGTAAGAAGTCCTGGGTTTCTTCAGACTGGCAGAAGTCTGCAGGACTTCTAAAATTTCTGTAGGAACAAAAGATGCTTATTTGAACATTGCAGAAGTAATGTCCTTGTCATGCTCCATATTCCTACACTTTCCAGTGTCAACAAAAAAAAAAAAGGGGGGTGGGGTGGGGTTGGGAATATTGTAATTGTTCTGCTGGCAAAGGGGCAAGCAACCAGGAAGCAAACAAAAAAAAGAGTGCATTCAAAACAAAACCTCACAAAAGCCAAAACCTCCTCTTTATAGTCTCTGCCATCCAAATCCACACCTTATCTCAAAATGGTGCACACACACACACAAAAGAACAAAAGGAATTTTATTTGGTCTAGCTGGTTTGTTTTAAGAGCGTGCACAGGCAGGAACCAGCAGAAAATAGAAAGAATACTTCAAGCAATAAAAAAATATATTATAATACATATTTTGACAGAAACCTTTGATGCACCCAAAGTAAAATAGATATAGATAGTAAAATAAAAATAATGTGAATATAATGCAGTGCATTCAAAGCTGAACTCCAAATTCAGACAAATAACACCCAAGAGCGCGCAAATTAAACAGCTAAACTCTACAGATGAAAGCTTTCAAGCAATAGAGTAAGTGGGCATTCTAGACATGTAATTTTGTAGAAATATGGCTGAAAATAAATTGGATGTTTTGGTTTACAAATCAAAACCAACAAAATCAGAAGCTAAACAAATCACTTGCTCATGAATGCTCCATTCAGGAATGATTATGGAACTGCTATTGGAAAAGAGTGGGCTTGGACTGATGGACTGCACCAGTGTAACACAACACTTCTCTACTTGTGCAGCACTTTTCAGTGTTTAGTCGGCTTATTTTGGTGGCATTATACCGTCTAGCCACATTTCTAGGAATCACAGTCTTACTTCTCCCCCCTGCACCAAGATAGTTTTGTTATGAAGAGGTTGATGACATTTGAACTTCAGCCTAGAGCCATCTCTAGGCACTGCTTTGGTGTCCTTGTAAACAACGTATGTACCGCCACATGTTATAATACTGTTAGAAGTCTTGAGAAAAATGACTACATATTTACCTATGAGAGGGTTTTAAAAAAAGAAACAAGAAAAAAAAAGTATCTGCAACAGCACACATCACTGCAGATTCAAGGTCTGCTTCATTTTTACCATGAAATAGGAACAATTTTAAGAAAAAGCAAAAGAAAACAAAGGGGGGGGGGGGCAATCCTTGACTGCTCAGCACATAAGGACCAGGAACTGGAGGGTAAGAAGAATGGAAAAGATGCATTTATTCTGAGAAAGATCACCAAAATACTATGCCACTTCTCAGTTCAATCCAAGTGCTCTACAGTATATCAGTCAAATATCCAGAGGCTACCTTCTCAACACCCGCTACCTGCATGGACGGTTTCATCTGTATAGAGCCCAGGTAGACATACTAATCTCACAGAACAGACACACCTTCAGAGACCTCCCTCTCCTTCACCTCAGTAGGTAAAATAGGAGAGTTGCTGTGAGTACACAAGCACTGACCTACAGAGTAGCCAAAAGTGCCTCTCTGTTAGTAAAACATGTTCACTGTGTATTTCTCGATGGTAGAGTTTCATTTTATGAAAACTGGATTGTACTTTCTTCGGTTAACAACGAGGACTATAAACTGCTCCGAGCAGCAAGATTTAATCAAATTTATACAATGCACAAGAACAATTCACAACCGGCTGTATATTCTGGCTATAATGTTCTGCATAGTCTCAAAGTAATACAAACTACTGCAGAGCACCCCACTGTTCCTTACTGCTAAAAAGCATTCTTAAGACTATCTCAAATCTAAAGTGCTCCAGTGGGCTCTGGTAATCACCCTTATCTCATCAAAAGCAATGGGCATTCCTCCTCCTTCGCCCTGGGTCTCATGAAGATTTTCTAAAACATAACATGTAAAGAAGATTTAGCTTAATGAGATCTCAGTAACATCTCTAATTTCCTTTGCTTTCAGAGTAAACACTTCCTCCTCTGTTATCAGATGCCTACCATACAGCTCCAAAAATCCAACACATGAAAAAACAGATTTCTTAAAAATCACAACACACAGCAATACTATGCTACCTATGCTCAGAGATCAATAAAATATCCCTGTTTACAGCTTTTCAGAAAGCTTGATGGCCCTAAATGAAAGGGTGCTGCGTTTTCTCTGAACATACAAAATCAGATCAATAAGATCAACAGAGCACCAATGAAATGTCAATAAAACGTCTTTTCTGGTAGGATACAAGTAGGGCACTGGAAAAGGCAGACACATGCAAATTCATAACAGTATTTACAGCAGACTGCTGATTAAAAGAGTTCTAGGACTGGTCTGAAGGCTGGTTTGTTACTCACGTGGGGAAGAATGATGTTGAAGAAATTGGGATGGATCTTCTGCATTTTGTAATTATTTTTTTTTTTTAAACTTCCCTCTGCCCTGAAAAATCAAGCCTTGCAGACTATTCTGACAAGGTAACCGAGCAGCCCCATTCTTTTTCTCTGGGAAGCCTGACATAGCCGTTCAATGGTGGCCATGGGTTAGTGCAGCACAGAAAGTATGTACAGAGCTATATATATGGTTTTGGCTGGGACAGAGTTAAATTTCTTCATAGTAGCTTGCATGGTTCTATGTTTTGGATTTGTGATGAAAACAGTGTTGATAATACAGAGATATTTTAGTTATCACTGAGCAGTGTTTGCACAGAGCCAAGGCCTTTTCTGCTTCTCACCCCACCAGTGAGGAGGCTGGGGGTGCACAAGAAGCTGGGAGGGAACACAGCCGGGACAGCTGACCCCAGCTGACCAAAGGGCTATTCCACACCATATGACATCATGCTCAGCATATAAAGCTGGGGGAAGAAGAAGGAAGTGGGGGGACGTTCAGAGTGATGGCGTTTGTCTTACCAAGTAACCATTATGTGTGATAGAGCCCTGCTTTCCTGGAGATGGCTGAACAGATGCCTGCCGATGGGAAGCAGGGAATTAATTCCTTGTTTTGCTTTGCTTGTGTGCACAGCTTTTGCTTTGCCTATTAAACTGTCTTCATCTCAACCCACGAGTTTTTGCACTTTTACCCTTCCGATTCTCTCCCCATTCCTCTGTGGGGGAGTGAGCAAGCAGCTGCATGGTGCTCAGTTGCCGGCCGGGGTTAAGCCACAAGGAGACACTTCAATTCTTGGCTTAGTTTTCAGAAAAGATCTGCCGACTGATACATTAGAGCAAGCAAAGGCTTACATTCAGTGATATCTCATCAGGTAAGTAAAGATCATTACTCCAGAAGACTGTGATGTTCTATTACACCTCCTTAGGAGGCATCATGCTGTTTAAGAAAAGCAAAGGTAGCATATAATTATTAAATATGAGTATAGCGGATCATGCAACACCCTAGCATATCTATTTTGAGCTCACTGACTGAGCGAGCACTAACGCAGAGGAGTTGCTCAGAGTTTTCAAGTGTCTGAAATAAGGGGTAGGTTGGGTTTTTTTACCATTTCAAAGGCAAAAAAAAAAATGCAAACATGAGATGAGAACACCAGAAGCTTCGATCTTCCTCCCTGTTAAAGATTGCCTATTGTACTCGGCTATTTTTGGAACTTGCCACTATAGTGGAAGAGCAGAGACTTCCTAGAATGATAACTGATTATTTTACTTAATGTTTGTCTTCAAAAATTCTTAATAATGGAAGGAATCTGTCTGTCCTAACTGGATTTTGATCATCGAGCAGGAAAGTGGCACTTTTAAGTTTTTCTAAGATGGGACATCAATAGCTATATCTATGAAAAAGTAGAACAATTGTACTATTTTCCAGTTAAAAACATCCTACTGACCTTTGCATGCCGAGTTCCAAATGTTTCCAAAGACACTACCAATGCAGAAGTGTTTGCCAGCACAGACACCACTGCAAGCTCCAGGCTATGCTCTGAATGCATCTGTTTCCTGATTCGTAATTTTTATACAAGCCCCGTTTCCGTAACACCCATGCACCCAAAATGAACATTTTTACCTAACAACACGCTTCTGAGCTGAGGAATTATTATTTCATGTTACAGATGAAGGAATCAAGACCTGGACTGTGAAACTTACTCTAGGTCATTCAAGAATCCTGTGGATTCGGAGACCTATGTGTGCTCCCCCAAGGCCCGATGCTTTAACAGCCATGGCTCCACTTACAGCATCTCCAATGTCGGAAAGCATGTAATGCAGAACTGCTAAACTGTTCAGGTTGCCTAGATGTTTATGTGCATTGCTGAAGTTATGTATTTTCCCTTGAAACTCCCAAATATATCTGAAAGAATTAAAATTTAAAAAAGCAAACTGAGCCACAAACAGCGTACAACAGAAA